CAATCACAACCATTATCTATTGAATCAATGGATTTTGAAAGTAAAAATTTCATATATATATATATATATTTCTTTTTTCATTTTCAATTTAATTGATTTCTTTAGATGCTGGTAATGAAAATAATCAAAATCAATTATCTCATCGACAACAACATCATCATCATCATTCTCAAATGAATGCAAATTCAGCATTACCATTAGTTCGTTTTTTAAATTGTTTAGAAAAAGCAGCTGTTGGAATTGTTTATTATGTTGATTGTACGGTTAAAGATGAACTTATTTGTCGAAAAGAAGCTAAATTAATGCAATATAAAAATATTGTTGAACAAGTAAATATATTCTTGTTTTTTTAGTTCAAATTGAACTTCTTAATAAATATTAACTTGCTCAGACAAACCAGAGATCATCAAGATTCTAATCGACCCATAGCTAGAAATATATTAATGTTTCGTGATCAATGAGTCTATAAATGTATCATATACGCGCTATCTAGGGAGCCGCAGGACTCTATCACAGTTTGACGTCAGTAACTGGCAAAGAGTTTTATGCTAATTAGAACTGTTTATTACTATGAATAGGGACTATCCTATAATGAATATCCGGATAAAAATCTTTTTTTTTTACTTTCTTCCCCGTATCCAGTTTGAACTGATTTTCGTCCTCTTAGACATCCAATTTCCAAAACTTTTTAGAAAGAACCTATTTTCTCAAATATACTGGTATTTTTTGAATGGCTGATATACATTTTATATAGGCGATTTATTTGTAGGTCACATGTAATAGAATTCTGAGAAGTTGACCTTTTGAAAATGCTGCTCAAAATGTATTGAACTTTAAAATTTTGTGAGAATTGCTTAAAAGATTAAAAAAAAAATGGTGCAGAATCTGCTACTAGAACGAAAAAATTTCCCTAATGTCAAAATAAAATAAGTCATTTTTAAACACATTAAAAAAAGGGAGAAACAAGGTTAGATGGAACCATCAAGGGCGAGATAAAAAGTTGAGGAAAAGGGTGAGAGTAATAGGTTAGATTGAGGGTTAGTAGGATAGTCTAATGGAAATCAATCAACAATGATATTATTCAGATTTTTCTTTTCCTTTATATAAAATTCAAAATTTTTCTTTCTTTTTCTTTTCAAGATTCTTCTTAATCCAAAAGAATATCATGAAGTAACATTACAATTAAGTGCAACAAAATGTTTATGTAAATTTATGTTATTATCACTTGAATTATGCGAAACACATGCAAAAATGTTATTTGATTTATTAAAAAATTCAACATTCGAAAGTGTTCGTGTTGCTATTATGGTTTTAATGAACGGTTTTTATTTAAAGTAAATTTCTTTTGGCAAAAAAAAATTTATTTCTAAAACAAAAGAAATTTTCTTTAAGATATCCATTAGCATTTGCTGCTTATTCAGATGATGTTTATGGTTGTTTACGTGATCGATCAGATAATGTACGTTTAGCAGCATTAAAAACAATTTCAAATTTAATTCTCAAAGAAATGGTTAAAGTTAGTTTCATATATATATATAAATTAAAACAAAAACATATGATTATCTAAATTTGTTTATTTAGCCAAACGGTCAAATAAGTGAAATAGCATTTTGTATTATTGATAAACATACTCAACTAGCTACATTAGCTACATCATTTTTTAGTGAATTAGCTAAACGACAACATGGTGAAACATTATTTAATATTTTACCAGATATATTTTCAAATTTAGTTGGCGTTAAATTAGATGAGCAACGTCAATTAAATGAAGAAGATTTTAAATCTGTTATCGACTTTTTATTTAAATATGTTAGTAAAAAAAACAAACAGAAAGTCTATTAGAAAAATTATTGGAAAGATTTTGTTTAGCTAAGTAAATTATTTATTTTCATTTTATTTTATTTTTTAATAATTTTTTTCTTTAAGTGATGATCCTCGTGCATGTCGTGATCTTGCTTATATCATGTCAAAATTAACATTTAATGAACAATCATTAAAAGGTCTACTTCATCATTATGATAATTATCGAGATAAATTATTTGATAATGATGTTTATCAATCATTTTTAACGATTCTTGATAATGCAAAAAAGAATTTAGGAGCTAAACCTGATTTAAAAGTAAAAATAAAAAGATTTTTTTCCTTTTGTTTGTTATTTTTCATTGATTGAAAATGATCCGATTTCTTTATAAAAGGTTCTAATTGATGCATTATCGACTAGTATCAATAAAGAAAGATCACCAAATGGAATTTTAATTGCTGTACAACAAGCACAACAAAAAACAAAACAACAACCAAAAGGTAAAAAAATTAAAACTAAAAAAGAACTAACGATGAAAGTCCTTCAATTTGTGGGGCAGACCTTTTTTGGTATCCGTTCCGATCACAGTCTAGAAAAAACTATTCCAGAGTTTATTCATATCACATAAAAAAAAATTTCTTTAGTCCTTATTTTTTGATTTAGTCGATGACTGGCACTTTTTCAGTCATCTCTTTTGAATTATGTTCTAATTGATGATTTATAAGATACTTTGCTTAAA